AAAACTCTGAAGACGGAAAGAAAAAAACCAAAGGGAAAAGAGAAAATATTTTTTTCTATTCAGAGCAATATTTGAATGTTATRCAGTAAAGAAGCTGGATTCTGAATGAGAGAAAAACATATTAAGCGAGTTTCATCTGCCACTGAATTAAGTAGGTTCCTTTTGGAAATAAGTCTAAAGGTGAGGAAATAGCCATTTCCTATCAAAAGCAGGTATCCACAGCCCCCAGTAGCTGCTCTGTGATGCACGGCAGTGTTTGCTACGAGGCAGGGAACTTGAAGGTGATGTGGAGGACATCAGGAGGAAGGTGCTTTCTCTGGGTGCCTCTGTTGCTACGTAGATATGCAGCACACCATGCAGACAGGCTAGTATGGACTTGTCCTTTCGGTTGATGCAAACCCTGCCAAGAAATGTGTGACCAAGTATTTGCTTCTGATGTTTCTGGACGATAATGCAAGACCTGCAATGCAAGAGGAACAGTCTGCAGTTCTGGTTTATAGTAAAATTCTTTATATACGTGTCTTATGTTTGAGGTAGAACAATGTTTCGTGTTACATACTTGCATGTTTCTTGTTTTATACGGCTTTTTGTGCTGTGTTTACACAGAAATTCATGTTTATTCTGCATTCTATAGCTAAGGATGTTTTGTTATGATGAAACAGAGATTTATTTATACCCAGAAATAATAGTATATCTGTGATGTAGGCAGCCTAAGATTTATACCGTCCTTAAATACTCATTTGCTTGCTTTTAAGTACTTTGCTTCTCTAAATGAGGCGATCGATAACTGCAGTGTTCAGACAGATATGAGAGGAGGGATCTGAACTAATGCATGCATCTAAGTATACTTTTTTTATTATTTTTTGACTGCTTTTGACCTAACTGCCAAGAACTCCATGCATTTGAAGAATGTACTATTTTTGTACTATTAACCAGATGTTTGTACTATTAACCAGATTTATGGCATGCCTCTATAAATACAGAGATTTTGGTATATTTGAATGTTTAGACACCGTATAAACTCCCTGTGTTTGTTTCTATCTATGGTTAATGCTTTTAGGCTCTGTTCTTTTTTATTGAGTCACTCAATTACCAAAGATGAGGAAAAAGTTTCCTTTTATCAGATCCTGGTATTTCTTCCATTATTTTTAAAAAACTAAACCACTTCTATTATTTTTATTATTTGCAATGAAAATATTTTGTAATAGTTTCATTGATCAAAAGAATAATCTTCAAGAGGCAGAAAAAGTTCTTAAAGGTTTTTGTTCATGCCTGGGAAACAAGCTCCCTTATGCATTGTTTTCAAGATGCAGTCACACTTCATGGTATGATGTGCTGCACTATCAATAAATAAAGGATCAAAGACATATGGCTTACAAAAGATTAATAAAAGGAAGAGCTATCGTAATGTATTTTAACCTCAGGCTTTTACAACACTCTACAGGTGGCACAATACCTAAGATGCRTATTGGCTCTTCGTTTGAGATTTGGGGGAAATCTCTTTAGGATACCCATATCAGCCCTGGAGTATTTCCCCTTCATGCTAAACAATGAAAAACCTACAACCTGTGGGACTTCAAGACCCACAGGAAAAAAAAAATAGGTTTTTGCTAGGAGAAGGAAGATTTCTCTCCTTAGTCGTAACGTGAAAACATAATTTTTAGTTTTAATAATTGCCCTTAACAGAGAGCAACATTATATGACATGCATTTAGTGATGAGTCTTCCGTAATCAGAGGCTGGGTACCCCCATCCCCTCAATATTCCTTGTTCCATCTGCTTCCCATCTATGCTTGAGGGTCTTGCCGGTAGAGCCTCAGCAGCACTGCTGGGCAGTACTGCTTTAAGTGAAGTCGCCAAAAAGAGTGGAAGAAAACTCTTGACAACCATGTGAGTTGAATTGGGTCCCTGATTGTCAGTGGGAAAATTCCTCTGTTGTTTTGTTTAACTGCACCTGACACATTGATTTGAAGGAGATTTACTTGGCAGAGGGTGAGGGGGAGCTTGAGAGGAGCCTTTACAAGGTGTTTCCAACTTGATGGGAAAGAAAATAAGTAGTGGAACACACCTCAGTAGTAAAGTTTCATACTTTGCAAAAGCACTGCCCTTTGCCTTTGCAAGAACTATGGAAATCTTCCATTCCTGCCAATCTTTTGGACAGAAGAGGCATGGAGGTTAAAACTGGACTTTATAGTAGAAGTTTGTTGCTGATTCAGAGGTTATGTGTTATTGACGTTGTTCTCTGCAACATCAGTTTTCTCTAGAGTCTTCGCAGCCAAATAATGACTTGGCCCAGTGTTGCTTTAGATCCTTTAGATCGTTAGCTAGCAGTCTGAAATGTTGTCTTTCTACTTAGAAAAATAAAGTTCAAATTTTTGATCATAGAATAATGAGGAAAGATCATTCCACCTGCTCTGTCTTTGATATAATTCACTTCTAGGAGCTTATTACAAGAAGACATTTAAAACTTGCTGCAGCTGACTTTACATATCTTGTTGCATAAAGCAGGCTATGGTTTTATAAATACTTAAACCAGCACTACTGGAAAAAATGGATTTCCCATTTCCAATACAAGCTATTCTTCCTCCCTATGTTGGCAGAAGTTTTCTGCAGCTGAGGTCAAAGAACGGGTTTGGATTACTGCTAACCATGATGTTTCTTTGCCAGAATGATTTTAATCTAGATGAATTTTGTATTCAGGGTCACCGCATGGCTTCAGAAACAATGCTGCCAGCTCAAGAGAACAGCAGCAGAAAGGCCAGAGTAAAGCTCTAAATCAAAGCTATTTCCAGTTAAGTCCTGTTCTTACCTTGCTGCCAGAACATGCTGTAGCTGCTGCGAGACTTTATGGATCCACAAGGTAGAGAGGGGTAAGTAATGTAAACACAGGAACATTGGTGTGTCATTTGCCCAGGCTTCTCTAGTGTGAACCAGTCTGCCTCACCCATTTCCAGGATTCCCTCATCACCCTTACGAAAAGGACCATAGCTCCCGTGTCCCCCAGCTGTTCTTTGGCACCGATTGCACAGCGATGTTGCGCRCGGCTCACAGTGAATTAGGACAGCACCTTAGGGATGCCAAGATCATACAGGATCAAGTGAGATAATCCAGACTGGGAAGTAAAGTTAGTCCCTGAGAGTAATACTGTGGGGTAAGTGAGTTAAGAACCTGTCCACAGTAACACAAAGGTTTTGTGTATTGTTTCAGTCTTTTAATTATGAATTTGTGGAGAGCAACAAAGGAAAGAACCTGCATGTGGGACTACACCTCATTGTCAGATTGCCCCCTGCAATCATCTTCCTGCAGTTTTGTGTTTGTGGAGAAGGAAACTGGACTTCTGGTTAGGCAGTGCTATGGTACTCTAATATTTGGTAACTTTGGCGACCCTGAATGTGAATAATGTGAAAAAAATAATATATATAATGTAGTAATATGAAATACTCATCTAAAACAAGAAAAACATGTGAACTAGAAAAGAAGGTGCAAGTGAAAATGAATTACTTAGGAAGAGTGAAAGAGAGAATTCATTTGCTGGTAGGATGTGAAGAAATTACAAGGAGGCAAAGAACAAATGGTCCAGTAAAAATGCTCAATGCAGGTCAAATTGGAATGCTTAGAACTCAGCTATCAGCAAGAGGAGAGAGTTGTAACTATGGCCTTGAAAGAAAAGAAACTAAGGAGCAGCTCCCAGGCTTAAGATGCTCAATGATGCCAGATTCCCAAGATATAAGAAGGCAGCAGTGACTACAGTTGGTCATGGGCCTTTTTTCCTTTCCTTCCACCGTGACCTCCACAGGCTACCTGTCACAATGCCAACTTGACCATGGACCTGACATTTCTAGGATTTATCTGTGGCAGCTGATGTGGAGAAGATAAAAGGCTATACAAAGTGTGAGGACTGCAGAAAGAGTTTGAATTATGTTTTAAGGAGAATACAGATGACGTTGCAATGAAATACAGAAAAAAATGCAAAGGTGAATTTTTTCATTTTGGCTATTTATTTGTAGCTGAATCAATTTTCAAACCCAACAGATGTTTAATATTTAGTTGTGATATTTCAAAGCCTCCAAACTGTCTTTTGTTTCCTCCTTTAGGGAAGCTGGAAAGATTTTGAACTCTATTATCAATATTTTTTTCCACCTTTCAGTGCTTAGGACAAGCGTCCTTGAAAGGGCAGCAGTTTTGAATTTGCTGATTGTCATGTAGACAAGGATGTTTTCAAAATAAAAGCACACAATCCATTTGTAAATCTTCCTGAATATTTGAAAGTATAATCAGACTGACTCAGGCAGCCGACCTACAGTGTATCTCATTTGAATTCTCTCTTCCCCCAGGCCTTGTCTACAAGAAATATGCATACATTGTACTGTAAGTAGAAAACATGGGTGATAACAATGCTCAGCCCTGGTGGAGTTCTGCATATGTTTCAGTTTCCAATGCACCTGAGCATTTACCTTTCTCATGCCCTGCATGTAGCAGTAGCTTCCCTATATAATGCCTTTTTTTTTTTTTTTTTTGTAGCCAGACAATATAGTCCTGAAGCAACACAACCTTCCATTGCCCCATTTGTCCTTACTGTTCTTAGCTGACTGTATTTCTTGCACTAAGCAATATGTTTATTGATTTGGTAGATGAGCAGTGATCTTGCATACTTCTGTGAGTAGTTCTTCCTTATGGGAAGAAGTCTGTGAGTACAGGCTTTGAAGCAAAGTTTATGGGCCTTCCTTGTCTCTGGTCTAGGAAGTTTATTGATTTACTGATTACTTTTCTGATTATTATATACATCAAAATGCTGGCTTTGTTTTGGATTTTCAGCATTACCTTTCATCGTCTGTATGTAAATAACAACTACTAGCATCTTTGCAGTGAAGAACACTTCATGACTGGCTTCTTACAGTACTTTTTTGACGTGTCTTTCTTTACAGTGTCAAGCATTAGAGGAAAACATCTGCTACACTGCAAGTGCAAGGTCTTTGAGCCACACATAGGGCAAGGTGCAAAGCAGTCGTGTGTTACCGTTGCTGGCAGCAGCAGAGCCTTTCTGTGCTCATGGCACACTGGGAATACGAGGAAGTCCTGAAGAAGATCGCTTGGACTTTGGAAAAGTGAAAGCAGGAAAACTGATCCTAGTAAGGTTGCAAAGGCCTGTAGAAAGGAAAGTCTCTTCCTTCCACTATAATTTGAGGGCTGTGATTTGCTTCGAGGGGGACTTCAAGGAGGCAACCATTGTTGTAATTGTCCGGACCGTGTCTTTTGGTTGTGGATGGCCATGCTCTGAGAAGGGGGTGCTATATACAAGTCCTTCTCTCCCAGACTGTTCCCGTCAACCCTCTCCATAGTTTAAAGGTCCTGGTATCTCTTTGTGTCTTAATGTAGGGTCTGAACGTGCATGTTTACTTGGTTCTGACTTGTCCATCTGCACTTCCATCTTTCTTGGGCAGTGGCAGGAGAGCTGAATGGACAAACAGGCCAAGGATAGGGCTAGGGAGACCAAAGCCCATCTGGAGTTTACTCTGATGGGAGTTGTCAAGGATAACAAGAAGGACTCTTATGAGTACATCAGTGGCAATAGAAAGACATGGGGAAGTTTGGGTGTGATGCTGAATGGGGCAGGGATGCTGGTGACAAAGAGCACAAAAAGGGCAGAGATACTGAGTATCTTCTTCGCGTCACTTCTTGCTAGTAGCAAGACTGTCCCTCAGGAATCCCAGGGAGAAAGTCCAGAGCAAGGACAACTTTCCCTTGGTGAAGGAGCATCTGGTTAGGGATCACTTAAGCAAACTGTCTGGAGTAGGTGATGAAAGAGCAGTGRATGTTGTCTACCTTGACTTCACTAAGGCTTTTGATGTTGTCTCTCATGACATCCTCATAGACAACCTGAAGTGCGGGTGAGATGAACAGCAGCGAGGTGTACTGAAAACTGGCCGAACAGCTGGGCTCAAGAGAGCTGTGCTTGGCGGTGCCAAGGCTGGTTGGAGGTCAGTAACTAGCTGTGTACCCTGTCGCTCCATACTGGGTCCAACTTCTGGGTCTGACTGCTTGATCAGTGACCTGCATGAGGGGCCGAGTGCACCCTCAGCAAGGTGGCTGCCCATGCAGAGCTGACAGGAGTGCCTGGTACCCCAGAGGGCTGGGCTGCCATTCAGAGGGACCTGGGCAGGTTGGAGAGGAGGCAGAGAGAAGAAACCATGAGGTTCAACCAAGACAAGTGCAAGGGTCCTGCACCTGGGGAGGAGTAACCCAGGCACCAGCACAGGCTGGGGTGACCTGCTGGAGAGCAGCTGTGCTGAGAGGGGCCTGGGGGTGCAGGTGGGCAACAAGGTGACCCTGAGGCAGCAGCGTGCCCTTGTGGAACGATGGGCTCCTGGGCTGCATTAGAGGGAGCGCTGCCAGCAGGCAGAGGGAGGTGATTCGTCCCCCTCTGCTCAGCCCCGAGGAGGGCACCTCTGCAGTGTTGTGCCCCATGTAAGAGAGCTACAGGCATCCTGGAGTGAGCCCAGGGAAGGGCCGCAAAGATCATTAAGGGACTGGAGCATCCTTCATAGGAGAGGAGGCCGAGATAGCTGGGTTGGTTTAGCCTGGAGAAGAGATGACTCTTAATAGTGTGCATAAGTAGCTGGTGGGGGGGGTGGGAAGAAGGCAGGGGCAGATCCTTCTCAGTGGTGCCCGGTGACAGGATGAGAGGCAATGGACACAAACTGAAACACAAGAAGATCSATCCATATAGAAGGAAAAGCCTTTACTGTGAGGATGGTTGCCCAGAGTGGTTGTGGAGTCTCCATCCTTGGAGATACTCAAAACCCAACCGGGCAGTGCTGGGCAACCTGGGCTTTAGGGGGTGCACGTTTTTATCTTTGCTTTGTCTGTTTGCTGCGTTGGCTTCAAAGGCAGTCTCTCCCTCTTTCTCTTACTCCAAAGTCTTAGTGTTTGCCCTGCCAAAGAATGGGGAGAAATCTGACGTCTGAAATATTTATGGGATGAGAAAACATTCATGCCACATTTAGGAGATGTGTTTTTGTTCCTATGCTAGCCAGTAAAAGTCATTGGAGCCGAGTTCTCTGCTTGTTTGTCTTGCTTAGCAAGGAGACCCCATTGCAAATTTCCTTTAGAGAGGAGCGATGACAGAAAAGCTGACACGCTACCATTATGTAAAAAATACTCACTCACGCCTTGCTGCTGGCAATTACTGTTCTTCTGGGAGTAACCTTTTCCTTACCATTARTGATGATTAAACCAGATATGAAACATGAGGGGATTTATAACATGCATTCTCATAAAATGTGCCTTATCATCCTTCTTAAAAACAGCATTGACTAACTGGAACTTTCCACTGCAGTGAGCTTGTTTAACATCAGCCAGAAAAGCTAGTGCCAGCCCTTTGCTTCGCTCAGTTTGCAGCCATTGCRTTTGTGTCCTTTTTACTTTATTTGTTAAGCAAGCGTGAGCCATGCTATGAACAGGCTTGGTCTGAATTTCAAAGGAATTCTTACACAACTGTCACTTATGCCCTCTCCTGCCGAGATACAGAGGGCTTTTGGGGCAAAAAATGTGAAATAACTGCAGGACCTGGGGAAGCTGCACAGCACGGAGGGCCGAAAGTCCTACTCCTGCAGCCTCGCGTTGGGGAGGGAGCTGTTAAGGAAAGGGTGGCTCCAAAGTCTGTCAGCTGTCACTCCATGTGTCACCCAAAGCAAGGAGGCTCCTTTTGCTCCGTAGCGGATACGACACAAGTCCCTTCCAAGGATGGAGGGATGTCTTTCTGCCAGTCGAGGCAGCGGAAGACTCGTTGCGGTGCGTGTAGTTAACAAGCGGCAGCAGTGAGATGAATGATAAACTTCAAGGTTCTCTGGGGGGCAAAAGAAAAGCGTTTTTGGAAAATAACTTTGAAAGAAACGTTTCAGTGAGAACACTATGGGGATCAGTGTTTAAGGGGGCTCCATTTAATGTGTGAATTACTTGAGACTGCAATTTGCGTTGGATGCAATCAGGCTTTCCAAGAAAATGGTACTCAGAGCTATTGTACAAGAGCTTTCTTAATATTTTTTTTTAAGTCCCAGTGATTCAAGCATGTAAAAAATGTCATGAAACATTGTGATTTGCTCTCCTCTTTTATTTTAGTGTTCAAAATCCTAGATAATAAAGCCCTCATTTCATATCTAGAAACTCTTGAAATAATACACTCTTCAGGAGGGAAGCACTCTGAGCAGCAGTTAAGCTATTATTTTCACTAAACCAGATAATAAGCTTTAATAAAAAGCCTCTTCTTAGCAGTATTGTCCATTATTAACAAGGCTATGCTGGTCCTGTGATATTTTTATTTCTAAAAGGCTCTTGATGCTGCTTTTTCCTCGGGAGACCRCTAATCTGTACATTATACAATTTATGTATATGGCTGGCTGACCGGCCAATTGGAGCTGTCTGCAGAAAGCTGAATTTTCTCAGTCTAGCTGCTTGATGCAACACAAGGAAGACATCTGGGGCATCTGATATCCCTTGGTCACCTCAGTGTGGCCAGCCCTGCGTGTTTGAAGTGCCTGATTTTTACAGCCTTGCTGAAGGTACTGTTGAGATTGCAACTGCTTCGAATTTTCTAGGTATTTGTCGAGAGTAAATGAGTTTTTAATACTAAAGCAAAAGGGTCAGTGCTGCTGGGGTGGTGTTGCCTGTGTGTTGCCTTAAGTGGAAGAGACCATGAATATTTTGAGGGCAAAAAAAATCTGTTTTAATTGATTTTGCTGTCTCTATGCATCCCTGTAACAAAGAGACTCAGAAATTTGTGTGTTTAAGTAGAGCTCCTGAATTCTCTTCCTCTATGGATTCCGCATCCTGCAGATCAGAGAACTTCCAAACTTTGTGCTCAACTACCCAGGTAGTTTCTTCAAGCCAAAATATTTAATCTTTAAAGCTGGAACAGAGCAGACCACAAAAGAGGCTTTTTAATGCAGCAAAAAAGCTACAGTGTGGCTTTCTTACCCTGAGGTCTTTGCCCTGTGGTACTGATTCACAGAAATTTGGCTGCTTCAGACCCTATAGTAGAATCAATGCACTTTATTCGCTACAGAATTTCCTTAGGGAGATTTTTTTTTTTTTGGTAACTATTACTGTTCTCTGGATCACTTTGCTCCCTGACTGGCAAAACCAATTGTGTTAACACTGCGTGTCATCTTTCTGAGGCTGAAGATTATTACATATTAGCCAACTGTCGGCACTCAACCCTTTTTCGGTAGCTACTACTCTCTCCCTAGTAATTATTTTAAGCTAGATATTTACCCAGGCCTGGATTAGGCTGCAGTTTTGAAACTATTGAATAGGCATTAACCTGTGAAGCAAGTGAAGATGGTATTCTGAGGATTAAACAAGTGTGGAGGGTAACCAGTTAATCAGAGCTGCCATTTGCAAAAGAGAAATGTTAGCTGCATGTTGAAAGCAGCATTTTCTTGAATAAGGGCAAAGGTTTTCAAGTGATTCTCCACCCTTTTTACTAGGAGTTTGACTATTCGGAGTCAGTGAATAGTATAAATTAACTTTCTAGCCTGCCTATTACTAATTAAACTGACATATGAATATGTTAAGTGTTCTGATTACCTGCTATAATACAATATCACAATAACTGATATTAATTAACTTCATATCTTTTGCAGCTTGAACAGACTTCCAGGTTGCTGACTAATATGGTTCTTACTCTTGCATGTAGCTGAGTGCCAATAAAAAAAAGGACCACTCAAAAGTTTCATTATGCTTTGATGAACCCCCTCTCCAAAGGCAAGGTGTTCCTCCTAGAATGTTATTGATGACAGTTTTCCCCTAAGGAAACACCCCATAATAAACTGCTGAAAATGTTAATTTTTTGAAGGGAATACAAACCTATCAAAGTCACTAGGATCAGGCCTCATCACTCYATAAGCAGATTTGAAAGCCTCAGGGAATTTTGTGTAGGGAAAATGTTTTCTACACGATTGGAATAAAATCCTTTTCTTTCTTTTCTTGCACAGCAAAATGTCTGCTGTATGGACTGTGGAGTAAGGACTTGGATCTGAAGTCAGGAACACAAGAAGTGACAGCATTTCTTCAAACCTCATCTTAAAGGCCAAAACAGTAGGTGGAATGACGAGGACATACTGGTATAAGTAGGGAACTTATATAGGGGCTGTTCCTGTGTGTTTTTGGCAGCGAGCTTCGGGAGCATCTGTGTGACACACATGGTCTTACATGGGATCCTAGCCATTCCACCAGCAATTCAGGTGGTCATGTTTCTATCTGGAAAGGTGTTATCAGAAGGCCTCTATATAGCTATAAATAGATGAAGTGAAAATATAATGATGATGATGAAAGAAAAAGGATTAAAGGCTCCTTTCTTTCTGTTCACGCTATATGAAGTGATTAAAGAAAGCCAAGATTTGCAAGTTAAAATTGAGAATCCTAACCTTAAATATGGAAGCCTAAATATATTAAGGAATGAATCTCTAGTTTATTCCTTCAGGCAGTTTTTGGGGTACCCCTTTGAAATAAAGGATCCACAGCAGAGCTCACAACGGAATGCTTTGCTGGTATAGTAAAGTGTATAGATTTTTGGTTACCTTCTGTTTCTTGACTGAGGAGCATTATTTTGCACTGTCTGGGAGACAAGCCCATTTCATTTTAGAAAGCCTCAAGTCCTTTACTTCCTCATCTCAGCATGCTATAGCTGCCCTTATAAAACAGGATTTCCCCTCAAACATGATGGGGATTTTCTATGTAAACTTTTAATTTCCTTAATTAAACAAGCAAAAMCAAGTCCACTAGTTAAATAAGATGTCAACGTGGCCTCCACTGTGCTGAACTGCTTTTTTTCTGCAGAAATTTTTCTCACAATTAYTCTCAGAACAGATGTTAAAGAATAATTCATGTATCCCATTACTCTAATCTTCTTATTCTATTACTTGTCATTATTTTGTAATGCTGTAATACATATTACTTCATTACAAGAGAGGTTCAATGTATGCTGCCCAAAATAATGATATGTGTAAGGAAGAATGAGTAGAAAACTTGGCATTTGTTTTCTTCTGTATGAGAGTACATAAGATATTTAGAGCACCTCTGTGCTCTTAGGTGCAAGTATTTTTTTGCTATGATCATTATTGGAGTGAGTACATCCCATGGCAACTCTATACCATAGCTTAAACTACAGCGGCTAATCTCTAAAACACTCCCAAAAACATCTGCTTCAAGAAGTAACCTAGCAATGCTTGAAGGGGACCCTTTTCATCCTTGCAGTGGGATGAAGGAGAGGAAGGTTTTAATTTTAGGATAACTGAAATAACTGCAATGTGCTCTCCCAGAGTCCACACGTTTCTTACTCTCAGGAAGAAGAAAAGAAGTCAGTAAATACCAGTAAGGTATTTATTTTCTGTGGCAATGTCCACTGTGCAACAATGAAGTAGATGTGATGTATTTCTGTGAGGATAGTTCTTCACAGAATCACCGGATGATTGAGGTTGGAAGGGGCCTCCAGAGCTCATCCAGTCCAACCCCCTGCTCCCGYAGGGACACCCAGAGCACGGGGCACAGGGCGSCATCCAGGCGGGTTGGGAAGATCTCCAGAGAAGGAGACTCCACAGCCTCCCTGGGCAGCCTGTGCCAGGGCTCTGGCACTCCCACAGTCAAGAAGTTCTTCCTGATGGGGCTTCGGAAAGACATATCAACCTCTCACAGCAGAAACTCCCTTTTAAGCCTTTACATGAAAGTTTTTCCCTCTCTGCCTGTCTGATGGCCAGGTGAGAGCCGTAGGCGCACATGCCTATGCTACCTGAGTAGCAGTTGTGGTTTGCCCTCTTTCTTCCTCTGCAAGGACGTGGAGGGAGATGGTGCCTTTCCCATTTACAGTTACGTCGTCTGCATCAGCCCCATTTTATTGGATCTTTAAAGGGAAAATCAGAGGGATTACATAACAAAATGACAGATGGTAACACTTCAAGAAGTGCAGTGACAGCTCACACAGTGAGGTGCTTCTGGATTAGAGTGAATCATCCATGTGCAAATTAGAAATCAGAAGTAACTGCAAATGGTAACAACTTTTCCAGAGTCTAGCACAGGTAGATTTTCCTTGATGCCCATGCGGCCAAAACTGTGCCTGGGAGGCATTCCCACTCACAGTGGGAATGTTTAAAATGTAACTAATTTGTATTATGATGGAATTACTGGGTGGGCAGCATGTGGATGGGGAAGAGGGGGCACGTATTATTAATACCCTTAAGGTAAAAGCGTCTAATTTGCCTCTTTTAACATTCACTATTCTAGAATAAAGGAAACCACCAAAACAGGTTTAGGTACTAGATCCTGCTGGACAGCCTGAACTCACTGCCATTCAGTGAGAAATGCTATAAAAGGTGGTGAACTTTACAAAGTGTCTCAAAATGTTTAGTAATGGAACATCAAATCGTCCTAAGAGTAGAAATGCAGGTATTATGCTACCAATAGGCATCCTTAGTTGCAATGTTAAAGCTTTGAATTCACTGAAATTTTACCTACAATACTAATCATACTCAAAACAAGCTTGCAAAGCCTGTTAAAAATGTATTTGAGCTAGTGTGAAACCTGCATGCTCTGTGGACATAAGCCAGAAGAGGCTTGTCCATAGAGGTGTGCTCAATCTCTTCAGCTGGATACTTAAAGACTGCAAGTGATCGTCTGCCAAAGAAATTTAGAAGCCAACAGATCAGTATGTGGCGCTCAGGTAGGCTGCCTTATTTGTTCCTTACAAATGTTGACAATATGGAACATTTTAATAATTAGCCAATGTCATAGCCTTCAGGAAAGAAAGCATGTGGGCTGAGTTCATCTCTCATGTAGCTGCAGTTATGTTTACCTTTTTCAGCTATTTAAAACATCCTTTAGGGAACAGRAAATTGGGTCTGGCATTGCATTTGTTAAAAGACTACATATGAGTAAGCCTTTATTTTTAATTTCTWTCTGTCCTCTAAAGCCTCATGAAAAGCTGGCATAGAGAATCAGGGTTGTTAAATACACATTAAATCAATTTATATAAACTTTCTCTAATTCATTTTTTCAGTGACTGGTTCGTTGATTGTCTTTTTGTTTTGTTGTGTGTAAATTCAAGTACAAATTACAAGAACTTAATTTCTGGATCTCTATTTCTTTCAGCAAATACTGATGTTACTAAAGTTATTCTGGAAAACATAAGTTTCAGTTCTGTACAAGCATTTTTGCCTGCATCTAAACTCATATTCTCTAGAGCTTTGAAGATGACTCCTGCCAGGTCACTCACCTTTGTCTGTCAGAAGTTTGTTCAAAAATATAGAAATGCACTTTGTGGTGTTTTTTTGCTTCTTTGTCGCTCAAAGTTGTTTGACTCCTTTTTTTCAAATCTGTGGCAGATCGAGTCACCTGGAAATTCTGTGTTTTGGCTGTGTCCTTGACGGTCTTCTATGGTGTGTATTAAGAAATCCAAGCCAACATTGCAGCATTTTTGCTTTCTGAATGTACTTCTTTTGGAGAAGTGGAAGAAACTGCAGTTTCAAGATAACTGCATGAAATGATTTCCACACACGTTCCTAAAATACCTGTGGTGTTTTTCACAGCTTGTCACTAACAAACAAGACGCATGTACAAGCACTCAGAGAAGATGAAAGAAAAGCTAATTCTGAGTTTCCACCTAAAAAAATGTAAAGCTGCATTCAACCCTAATYAATGTCAGTCATTGCCTGATAATCCTTGTCCAGATTTGCTAAGAGCGGGGCACCTTCAGTATTTTTTTTTATTGGTGTTGTCTGATTTCCATTAACTTCAGTATACATCACATTGGATCTTCTGAGCCACACATCTCTGAGTTTCAAAAGTGGTGTACTGGCTGCAATTTCTTGTGCATTTTGCCTTTTGTCTTTAAAGTATATTATACTTCTCCACACGTAGSATTATATGTGAAATAAGTGGGTTTTGTGGTATGTGAAATGGTTAAATGATATATTCAAAGTTGATGGTTTAGAGGACTTTTTTTAATCTACCTGTATTTTAATCTATTATTTTAGCCCTTGATAAGCTCTCTTACTGAAAGAAGTAAACTTTTGCTGCTGTTGTGGAGAGTCTTTGGGAAACTTTGGGTGTTACAGTATGCAGAAGGACAAGAGGTTGGTGTGTCAAACCTCTTGACCAACCTCAAAAAAGAGGTGGGTCAATGTCAAATATTGATGTTGCATTCTGTATGAAACATTTGGAATACATATTAGTGCTGCACCGATCTGGCAAAGCCACCTTCTTAAGCCCCGTCAGAAGTCMGGGCAAGCGAGAGCCAGGGGGACAGCACCAGGGACAGGAGCTCCATGGTTGCACTGSTAGAAAGCACTCTTCTGATGGAGGTATTTAGGCCCCTGTACGTCTGAGCTCTGTTAACATCACTTCTTTGGTTCTGTTTAAACAGCAGGGTGAAAGAAACTCAAGGCTAACAGCTGCTATTGCCAGGCCCCGAGTGCAGCACAGAGATGAAGTCAGAGGAGGAAGGACAGGCTTCCCGGCATCGCTCAGCGTTGGCTTCTCGTGCTGGACACTGAGCCTGCTCACGGAGGGAGAGGCGGATCCGTGCTGTGGCTGGCCCTCCTTGCTTCCCCTTGGGAAGGCCAAGTGTCTAGGAATAGCAACCCRGGCCTAAGGCAGAAGTGGTCGAGACACCCAGGACGGTTCCTTGTCCGAAATTTCAACCAAAAATAAGCCGTGGTTTGACAGGCCTTCAGGAATGGTTTAAAGAGAAGTACTCTGTCTTGCAGCTTAATCTCGTCTTTACGGTAAATTCAAGTGATGTTATCAGGGCTGAGTGTCTTGCCTGCAYGTAAATATACCTAATGAGCTGTAGACATGTTTGTATATGTGAATACGTGTGTGTTTGTAGATTTATTAAGATTAATTCTTCAGTTCCTTGTGGTTCATGAGACTAATGGCTCTCAAGCAACTCCTGTGGTGTACCTCATTTAAAAAAACATATATATGTTACTGTTATTACCCAGCATACTGTAGGAGCAGTGGAATTCCCTTGCATAAACACTGGTTTCAGTCACTTTGGACACTGGGCTATTTACTGAATGGGTTATAAATAGGATTCCTGCTACCAGTCTTCCCTGAAGATCTGTGCCTGTCACTTGATAACTTAAATCTGTGCTTCCCAGCATAACGACCGTGCTGGCGTCTCGCGAGGTGCAGGCGGCCTAACGTGCCGGTGCCGGCGGGAGGCAGGAGCCTTGGCTGCCGCCTGCTTGGCTCCCTCTGCACCGGAGCTGCCGAGGGGTGCGGGAACTGCGACTGTTGCCTGTCGGGTGAATTGACAGAACATGCACAAGTGCAGGGTCCTGCACCTGGGCAGGAATAAGCCCAGGCATCAACACAGAATAGGGGTTGACCTGCTGGAGAGCAGCTCTGCAGAGAGGGACCTGGGAGTCCTGGTTGACACCAARTTGACCATGAGGCAGCAGTGCCCTCGTGGCCAAGGAGGCCAATGGGATCCTGGCTGCATCAGGAGGAGCATTGCCAGCAGGGATCCTGGCTGCATCAGAAGGAGCGTTGCCAGCAGGTCAAGGGAGGGGATCCTGCCCCTCTGCTCAGCTCTGGTGAGGCCGYACCTGGAGTACTGTGTGCAGTTCTGGGCTCCCCAGGACAAGAGGGATGTGGAGCTCCTAGAGAGGGTCCAGTGGAGAGCGACAAAGATGATTAAGGGACTGGAGCATCTCTCATATCAGGAGAGACTAAGTGAGTTGGGCCTATTTAGCCTGGAGAAGAGAAGGCTGAGAGGGGATCTGATCAACATGTATAAATACCTGAAGGGGGAATGTAGGGAGGAAGGGGCCAAGCTCTTCTCAGCAGTGGCCAGTGATAGGGCAAGGGGTAATGAGTGCAAGTTGCAGCACAGGAAATTCCATCTCCATGTGAGGAAGAACTTCTTCCCTGTGAGGGTGCCAGAGCCCTGGCACAGGCTGCCCAGGGAGGCTGTGGAGTCTCCTTCTCTGGGGATCTTCCAAACCCACCTGGATGCTGCCCTGTGTCCCGTGCTCTGGGTGTCCCTGCTGGAGCAGGGGGTTGGACTGGATGAKCTCTAGAGGTGCCTTCCAACCTCAACCATTCTGTGATTGTGTGAACTGCAGGAGACTAGGTCGCATAAAACATGGCCTTGTTTACGCTCCACGTTTAAATCTGTAGCATGTCCTCAAATATTGTAAAATCACTTTGAAGTTTGTAGTCATTTTCCATCCTTTTTTTTTTTTTTCCCAGATACTGTTTTTTTCTGATAGGATTAGGAATTCATCCTAATGAGTTCCTCATCAATTGTGGAACTCATTATCAAATCTCTGGCTCTTGTAATATCTTGGTGTACTTTCTCCCCTGGCCAACTGCTGTGTATTTACATCTCTCATTCTGTCGCATTGAGAAGGGCTTCTATAAAGAACCTGGGTGTCTTTTAAAAGAAAAGATCACTGTTGTGTAAAAACAACAAGACCGAATTCTGCGAATTAAAAAGCATATCAAAACTGTGTAGCTTTTGGCTTCTGTTGTTCAGTATGTCCTTGTGTTCCTCAGAGCATTTCAGAAGGGAGCAATTTCCTCCTTGTTTTCTAAGTCTGAGCCCAGTAATGGGTGAGAATAAAAGCCTTTCAATGGTAGGGGGTTTTCAGTGGGATTATTGTCAGATTTTTACCTGGAGGGCTCTACTGGGGGCCGTCGCTTGTTTCCTTGCTACTAACAAGTGGATCCTGGTTCTCACTGGGGTACAGTGCGAGATCAGTAGAGCTACCCAGGAGCTAGCAGGGGCTCATCTGACTTGTYAGCCTCCTGGTACTCCATGTGACAAAGCGAGAGGCTTTGCAGAAACCAGGCTCATTCGGTGTAATTGAACTAAATGGATAATAGGACACTTATTAGAGCATTAAACAGAAGAATATGCTTTGMAGGCTTTTGCCAAGACTACAGTTCTTTGTCATTTTAGAACAGACACTCACTTAGGAGTCTGTTCTTTATGTGGGTGTGCGTTGGGATTTTAGAGATGTCTAACTCCCATCAATATTAACGGGAGTTGTGCAAGGAAAAATAAGAAGAACAGACCTTTGCGTTTCCAGAAAAAAATGGAACCTAAAGCCTAGAATAACTCACACTCTCTATTTGTTTCCTTCTATTTTGGGGATTAGCGTGGAGGTAAAAAGCAATTCCAATTCTAAATAAAACCTAGCCCGGTAAGGACACATTCTGTACTCCCGCCTGAGCTGTGCCTTGCCCTGAAACTCAGGTGATCCTGCCCTGCCTAACGGGACCAGCRATTTCTGATATAGGATATTGGTTTGTTCTGTTGCCATCAGCCAGAAAAGCACTATTCAACATGAGGAATGAGTTGTGCTTTTTGATTTAATGTTATGGTTTGGAAATACTGTTAATGCTGGTAATCTCAACTTTCCAGTTTACCTCTGTGTAAGTCCGGTAATGCTCAGATTGCAGTTTGTTGGTACCATTTTTCCTCAAAAAGCTTTGCAAATATTAAACTGCATTCTTATGCTCATGCCATTTACAGCAAGGCATGAACATAAGCAGAACTTGTTACGAAAATGTGAGTATTCACAACACTCAAATACTTAATAAAAACAGGGAAAGATGAATATTTCTGTTGAAAAACTGAATACATAAGAAATTATCTTATGCCTCACCTGGTAACTACACAACTGTTAACTACTTGTTTGACCAGATTAATGTTGCAGTAAATGAACTTGGTGTGTTTTAATCACACTGTTTCTCTTGTTTTACAGATGGAGGCAG